GCCGCCCGCCACGGCCACGAGCGGGTGGTCGATTTGCTGATGCAGCACGGGGCGGAGATCAACAAGCAGGGCAACGGCGGCTTTGCCGCGCTGATGCTCGCCGCCAGCCAAGGCCAGCCCGCCATCGTGCTCCGCCTGCTGCGGGCGGGCGCGGACACGGCACTGCGCTGTGAGAACGGCAAGACAGCGCTGCAGTGGGCAAAGGAGAGGGGCCACGCCGAGTGCGTGCGCGCCCTCGAGGAGCATGCGGCGGCGGAGGCGGCGGCCGAGGCAGCGGCGAGGGAGGCGGTGAGAGCGGTGGCAGAGGCGGGAGGAGGCGGGAGGAGGCGAGGTGTGGCTGCGGGGAGCGCGCGGCGGGCGGCGGCGGTGCAGCGCTCACTTCGAGGGCTGCTTCTTCGAGAAGCAGTAGACGGCGTTGTTTGTCATCTTCTCCTGGGCGATGAGGACCTGCGGGGGGCGGGACCGGGAAGGGTCTGGCGTGAGTCAGAGAGGCTTCACGTCGTCTGCGGAGGCGCGACGAGCTCCTTCTCGGAGCCGTTGATGACGAAGTACCCGCCCTGGTCGTACGGGCACTCGCCTGACGCGGCAGGCGGGGGAGGAGGCCCTCACCGACTGCCGCGGAGCCGCGGCCGTCGACAATCTCTGTCCGCGCCCCGCTGCCCCGCCGCTCCCCCGCGCAACACCCGGCGTGCTTCCGGCGCGCACCGAGGTCGGTGAGCTCGCGGTCGTTGGAGTCCTTGAGGATGCAGTAGGTGGAGCGGAGCATGATCGGCACCTGCCCCAGGAAGACCTTGTCCAGCTGCTGCTTCTCCTCGTCCGCCGCGCCGTCCGGGTCGTCCGGGTCCTCGGTGCGCGTGGTCTGCGTGAGGTCCATGTAGAGCGGGGCGGCGTAGGTGAGGTTGCGCAGCCGCGCCTCGTTGGGGAACATCGCCGACGTCGTCTGGTCCGCCTCCACCCACGTCGGCTTGGACAGGTAGATCTGGCCAAACTGAATCCCGTACGAGACGGCGCCGGCCGTCTGCATCGTCGGGTTGTGCTGCTGGTTCGGGACGAGCTCGAGTTTCGGCGACTCGTCGACGATCTCCTGCATCGTGTTCATGATGAACTCATCGAACGAGTCGAGTTGCTGCCGCACCAGCCCCTTCTCGTCAAAGTAGGCGGAGATAACCTCCCACACATCCTCCTGATTGATCTCCTCGCCGGCCTCGTCGTCGGCGCCCATGCCGGCGCCGCCCCGGCCGGCGCGGCGAGCGGGCGCCTAGCGGGTGCCTCTGCCACCGGCGAGCGGCCAGCTGCGCGTCCAGTGCACCGGCGAGGGCCTGGCGAGGCTGCGCCGCGCGCTGGGCTGCAGTGCTGGGGCAGGTGGCAAAGAGAATTTTAGAGCCAGGGTGCCTCAAGGCGATGGAACTCCTTAAAATCCCTAGAAGCCGGGAGAAAAGGGACCGGCAGGCGGCGGCGGCGTCGCAGGACGAGGCAGAAGAGAGCGACGCGACAGAGGAAGAAGTAACAAGGGACAGAACAACGAGAGTGGGACGACCGCGAGGTGGCATGAAGGTTGCAGCGAGAATCGGCGAGAGACTGCGAAGAGAGATAGGAAGAGGCAGACTCCCTAGGGTGGGCGACGGCTAGCGCATCACACACCTCTCCTTAAAATCCCTGTGTGGTGGCGCACACTCACACCACACACACAAACAGGCTCACAAGACACAGCGCGGGCTGCCACCACGAAGAGAGAAAAACGGGAAAAAGAAAAATCCGCGGCGGGCACGTCGCGCCGCATGGTGGCCGCGCTGCGCCGCTCGCCGATGGCGCGCGGTTGATCCACTCCGCGGCGGCGCCATCTCACGCAGCGGGGCGCGTCGCGTCGTCGGCGCCAAAACAGACGCGAGCTCGCGGCGCGGCCGCGGCAGCAAAAACATCAACCGTCTACTTCTCCTCTCGTCTTGTCGCAGGCGCACACGCGCGCGACGTGCGCTCGTGTCGCCGCGTTCGCTCCGCGAAGGACGATTCGAACCGGGAGCCAGTCGGCGCAGCGGCGGCACGCGGCGGCAAAACGCACGACGCTCACCTCATGGAGATGCTGCTGCTTTGGCACCTCCTGATATAATGCTGATTTTTTGCTGAGCGGGGCGGAGGCACCGGGCGGCGGAGGCGGCGGCGGACGACGTCTACTACCTGGCCGTCCCCTGTGGTAGCTTAGCGATCAGGGAGGATCTACCTGTTCGGCCTCGAGGAAGCTGCTGGGGGAGAGAGGGGGGGAGAGAGGAGAGGAGGAGCGGAGCGAGCAGAGAGAGAGGAGAGCCTTTGAGCCTTGGCACCAGCCAGGCAGTTGATTTGGCCCTGGCACCAGCCTTGGCAGTTGAGTTGGCCTTGGCACCAGCCTTGGCGGGCGGGCACGCGGGACATGCACAGGCGCCAAGGGGCGCGGCGCCGACAATCACGGCGGTGATTGCGGCGCAGGTGGGGGGACGGGAAGTCCGTCGGCGTTGCCGGGGGCCCAAGGAAGCGCGAGGGAAAAATTCCGCCGCTGAGGGCGCTCGTGCGGCAATAGCCGGGTGGAGGGGGGAGCGTGCCGGACGGGGCGTCGTCGCGCCGTCCGATGGTCTGCTGCCCCGCGCAGCAACCGTCGGGCGACGACCCGGGGGCCAAAAACCCGGCGACGACGGCGCTCTGGATGGGGCGTGACCTCCTGCCTCCAACCTCCTTCCTTTTTGAGCAGGTGTGACGCCGCGCGAGCGACGCTCCGAGATCGCCCGAGATAGCGCGGCGCGGCCCCGAGATCGCCCGAGATCGCGCGAGATCGCCCGAGATCGCGCGGCGCGGCCCGGGGCGGGGTGGATGGGTTGGGAGCGAGGGGGCGGAAGTGTTCAGTGCGGTAGATGGTCAGCTCGAGGCGCGTGAGCCGGACTTGTGAGCCGGACCACCCCCTCTTGTTCCCTGCGTTGTTGAGCCAGGACTCAACATACTCGGGCTGTCGTCATGCCATGTCCGCCTTGCGTTTGTTTCATTACATCGAAGGTAGGTAGGTAGTAAGGTGAAGAACAGCCAGGCTCGGACTGGACACCAACGCGGTATGGGTGGACGCTGGACAGATGATGACGACACGCACGAGCGACACACAGACACAAACAAGCTCACAAGACACACAGCCAGCTGGCTGCCACACACCCTGAGTCGGCGTACACATAACTCAGGGCCACATCCTCCCTGTCGCCCCCCCCAGCACTCCACGGTGCCAAGGGCACAAACAAGGGCACAACTCAAACAACAGACAACAGGAAGTGACATGTGAGGCTAGAGCAGTTTGCTCCACCTCTAGCAATCTCACCGGCCTGCGAGGCACGGACGAGACCGTGGG